AAAAAATAGCCAAACAATTCCTCAAAAATTTGCTTCTCGGCATTCTGAGCATTCAGGCTGGATCGCAGCGGTCACTACGTTGGCAGGCAAAGCTCGGTCTGCCTGCTTGAGCCCACCGCCCACATAAAGCCAGCAGGTTACCACGGATTGCACCAGCATGCTCAGGTGCACGCTAGTAACGGCCGAATCAAAAGCTGCGTGAATTTCTTTTCGCCTGACGGTTCAGCCACACTCTGCCTGCAGTAGAATTCCAATTCCTCCTTCTGCCACAGCAGCAATGCTGCCAGTCGATCTGTTTCAGGACCTCGGCTTTTGAAATGGTCAAGTGCTACAAGAGTCAGCTACTTCTGCATACTTGGACACAGACTTTCTCGTACCCGCTGAACCTGAGCCGACAAGCTTGAAACCTGTATCCGGTCTTTCTTCTGCTCTTCGATGTCTGAGGCATTTTCCTCAGCGTATTCACGCTGCTCTCGAGCTCGAGTCAGTCCCAACTTCTTCCTTCGAAGAGCACGACTCAACAACTTTTCATGTGTAATCATGCACTTCCCACCGGATTCTTCCCCGAGAAGGTAAGCATAAGTGGCATGCCAACAGTCTCTTCAATACTCCGTCAGAGGAACTTCAAACGGTGCTCGTCGCTGTATCTGACACCTTGGTCTTAGAAATCTTCCTGTCGTGTTCTTCGTCGCCGAGATTCCGCCTGACGGGGGCTGCGCCAGCTGCGCAGGCGCTGGCACAGCACTGGCGCCGCAGGCCGTGGCTCAGGCGCTTCCGGCGGCTTCACAGGTAGCTCCAGAATCAGGGCAGAGATTGGCTACAGCCATCTGTATGGGCCCTGCCTGAAGCTCGTCGTAACCTTCAATGACAAAGCGGCATTCCACTCGCAAACCCTGTTCAAGGCCGTGCCTCCCGTGGTTGCAGGCAGGCTCTTGCGCACCTGATTGTCTCTGTACCTCAACATACCGGAGGATCTCGGAGGATCTTTTCTCAGCTGAGCCAGGGGCTGAGGGCCCAGCGCAGGGGCACAGAACCGCGAGCCTGGCAGTGCTAGCTGCTAGTCACTGCTAATCTGAGGCTTCCGTTCTTATCTCTTCTGCAACCTCTACGGGGAGCCCCAGTTGGGAGCAACCGCCCCTAGATTCATGTTTCAGAAACCTCCTTCAACCGTTCAAACAAGCGAATTCCGGAGGGGTCGCTGGCAGCTCAGTAAAGCAAGCACTTCCCTGAGCCTCGATCTTTAAACTCCTCGATATCATGCAGCGTCTTCGTTCCCCAGACAGCTTTAGCTATGAGGGGTTCTCGGTAAATAAGGGGCCGCGCTGTGTCCACCGCCGCCGCAGGCCGTCTAGAGCCAGCAGCTCTACTGGTTGCCGTCCCACAGTGCGGTTCTACATCCTTTGCCCTGAAAGCCTTGAAAAATAGCTTTAATCGAATCCTGAGTGAGCATCTTGATGTTGACGCCTCCTCGAGTCAATGATGCCTTCAATCCCGGTCGCTCAAGCATGTTGGTCACATGGCGTCGGATTCTGTCGATGGCAGGAGTAAGACGACTTGCTGCTCGGTTTACCTGCAAGTCCTTGATGAAGACATGCTCGGCCACGGCGACCATTGCCTCTTTGGCGTCACTTCGGCTGGGTCCTTCGAAGATGCGGTCGTAGAAGGACGGTGTGACGAGACGGGCAACCACTTCGCCGGTGCTAAGCTCCCTGGTGTCGTAGCGGTAGTCAACTTGTTGTCCGGTGAGGTAGCGCTGGTGGAAGACGTGCACGCACTGCTTTGCTGGAAGCCGCTCGAATTCAAGGCCTATCTCTTTCGCCAGAAACCGTGGCACCCGTGTGAACCAGTCGAACTCTTCAGGTGTCAAGGCATCAAAGCTGTTGCTGTAACATGCCTCGGCTGAGGACCGCTGTGGATCCTGCCTGCTTCGTTTTGGTGGGCGCTTGTCAACTGCCGTCGCATCGGAATCGGCAGCTTGGGGAAAGCCGACCTGCGGCTTGACCACGCTCATTGGGAGATTTTCCAAGAGGCCATGTGCAATTAGAGTTTGCGGGAAGTATCACTGCTCGTAGTTGCAAGCCTCTGACGATATTATACTGGGGCCAAAACTTATAACAAACCCTGTGCATGGGAGCCTGGGAAACCCGTGTAGATGTCATCCAAACTGGGAACAGTCTCTCTAAAAGCCACGAAATGCCAGCTCGCTCGCATTGCTGGCAAATCCGCCTATGCAAGTCCCTCAGCTCATCTTTCGGCTTTCTCGCCCCCAGCCTAGGCCCCCCAAATGCCATCAAAGCCAACACGATGAGCCAAATACACAAACAACCTGCGGGTGCTTACTTCCTTGGTGCGTGCTACGGGTGGGCTGTCCCTAGTGCAAACCTTTCTGGCATAGAAATGCAGAAATGGGTTAGGTCAAGTCACTTTGGCGCATCCACCTCCATACGGCTCATCTCTCTCATGCCCAGTTTCCTCCACACAGCACGGGGGATGGTAAATGCAAAAACCACCGGCGGTGCAAAGAACCCCATGCCTCTGTCCACGGCTGCTCCTCGTAACCCTCGATCTTTGCCACCGTTGCCACAAAGTCACAGTTTTCACCGTCTTCCTTTGTTGTTTCTGGGCCTTTGACAAAATTCCGATTCGCGGCTTACCTCGGGTTCCTTCAACAGTTACGGCATGCTTCCCCGCAAACACAGCCCAGCGTCAAAGTCCTGCAAGAGTCTGCACTGTGAGCTCGGAGCTATGGTTGAAGCTCCAGGTGGTGTGACTTTCCTTCGCTTGGTTGCCACTTCGGGGCTAGTGGCTGCCATGCTCGGCACCATAAATCAATGGAGCGCGATGCTTGCTGTAGATTATCTAGCATTCTGGAGTCTGCAAAGCTTGTGATGTGACGATGCAAAGGAGCTTGGTGGAGAACTCTTAGGTCAATGCCGCTGCTCTGATCTTCTGCAAACTCTTTGTTTTCGCTGCCGGAAGCTGCAAGCCAACAGAAGAATCACAGCAAACTTGCATCAGCCTCAGCAGGCAAACTTCTTTTGATGTCCAGATGATCCCCAGAAGCCACCGGGGGCTCGATGAGGAAACTCGTTGCGCCTGGGACCATCGCTGCAATCGCGCGTGGAGTCCACGAAATGCCTCTGGCATGACGCCACGCTCGAATACGCAATGTACCCCTGCATATGAAGAACAGCTGCCTTCATTCCATCACTCCCGGCAGGAACCAACGCCAGTGCTAGACCTTGTGGATCACTTACTGCAAAGGAAAGCTTTCCAGCCGTCAACTGAGGTCAAGGCGTGGGGCTGGTGCAACAGTTACAGAGACATGCAGAGGGCATTTCCGTGGCCCGGGTGTAACTTTTCTGGCTCAGATGCGAACAAGTTTACTCGGTCGGGAGACTGAGTTGGCAAGCGATCGTGGTTGCCGAGAGCCAGCAGTGGCTCCCGTCTCTCCCTGGGCTGCCCCACCAGGCCCAGAGTGGTCACCGAGGCGATACCAGTGATCCAGTAGACTGCGGCGCCCACGCCGATGGCGGGCAACGGGCCTAAAAAAGCTCCATCTTGCACTCACAAATTTGCCGGGAAAGCGCTGAAAGAGTTATCGAAATTAACATCGCGCCATTGCCATCATCACCACCATCTCCTCACCGTCACTAAGTCACTGCAGTGATTCCTAGTTTGGGACAAACAAACAGATTTGGGGGTCCTGAGAGATCTGAGAGACAACCCGCCTGCAGCACCTTAGTGGTAAGATACACAAGCCTGCGAGAAGCCCCAGAGCTGCACTCTCGAATGCTCTTCTGTCAGTCCCGGTCCCAGCCTTTGGACCTGAGCGGGCGGGAGTCGTCGTCCTGGCTGCCTGCGAGGTTCAGGAACGAATTTGGCGATGAGCAGAATAAGCACAAGGCGACAAAAATGATCGGCGGTGGCTGAAAAGCAGGCCTTGGCTGGTCACGCTGGGTCTCGGAACCGACCTGGGCCGCGATTCCGAAGTGAAGTCAAGGCATCACGGCGGCCGCTTAAGACCGAGAGGTCTACTGTGGGTCCTTAGACTCGGATTCCGCAAGGCTTAAAGCTCAGTCAGGACACTGTCATGCAGGGGCAGACTGGGCTTGCCTGTTCGGAGCCTTGATCGCTGCTTCCTAGTCGAAGCGTCAAACACCAAGCCGGCGGCATCGTAGAATCGAGTGAGCCTCAACGGATTGATTCAAGTGGCTCAATGACCGACGGCAGATACAGCAACAACTCCAAAGCTGAGATGCCCGCGAGGTCAACGAGTCGCACACTGACACTGTGCACCCAGCTTGAAGGCTTCTTCAGAAGCTGCGGGAGGACAGCGGGGAGCAAGACGGTTGCAGCTGGGACTGAAACAAGTTGCAGTTGCCCGGCCAGCATAGCCACGGTAACAGAAGTTAAGACTTACTCAGCAAAGGCACTGGATCGCATGAGGCTGTTTTGCTCAGCGGGGCGGAGCAAGACTCTATGTGCACAATCTTGGCTGTAGCCAAGAAGTCAATCACTACGAACAGCGGCAGCGGTTGCATGTCTTCAATTTCTTTGCGAGTAGCCATAGGTGCTTGTAGGCATGGAATATCGGGAGCTGGATGGAGCTGGAGCTGTAGGGCAGCGATTCAATTGCCAGCTTTTTCCCTCGGAAGTCCCGAAAACTGTATAGCCCGACTTCGTCCTAGTATCCGGCTTTTAATCCCATAACATCGTCTGCCTCCTTGGTGGCGGAGCAGAGCACTGCCAGCACCGCTTTTCGGCCCACAACCCGGCTCTCGTCTCAGTCTTTGCATGTCGGACTGACCGAATAAACCAAAATCCGCTGAAACAACACTAACGACACCGCCACAACTCCTGATCATGACGGGTCTACCCTCAAACGTGCTGGCAGCGGTCCACTCGAACCGCTCATTAACAGAGTGTGGGTTTCAGGACTTGGCTCAGAGCTCGTCGTCCTCGGATCAGCGGCTTGAAATGCTCACGTTCGACGACTCGAAGGAAAGTGAGGTCGCAAGGCCAAGGGAAGCGTGTCTTGGGGCCTCGATCATGATCTTGCCAGCTGCTGCCCGCAGCTTATGTGCCTGTGCATCGTGGAAATGGCCGGTGGCGCGGTTGTGGTAAGGAGAGCTTTCAAGGCTTCACTCAAAAGCACGGGCCCCTCCAACTAGTCCAGGAGTCTCGGCCCCCTCCCGCAGGCCGGACCTCCTGCTTGGCCACGGCAGCATCTTTGGCGAGCCTGGAAGGGTCCCAAAATCCAAGGCGGAGGTTGCTGCGCACTCTCTTTGATGTCGCGCCCACCTGGCGGCCTCCATGAAAGCTTGCTGGGCGTCCCGGTCGGCTTGCGCAGAGTAGTCCTGCGCAGCCGGACCCTTCTTCGAAAGAATGCTGTCCGGTACCACGTCCCTAGTGACCCTCAGAAATCCCAAGATTACGTCAGTCACTCCCTTCCAAACAAAGCCGTTCTGCTACGGAGACCCGAAAAGGCGCCTAGGCCCTGCACCCGATGAGTCCAAAATGCACAACACACTGGCTTCGCATTCGGGGGTGGGACCGGGTGGGAGCCGAGGGCCAAGGCTTCAAGCATCCCGGGTACGGAGCACAGCTCGGTGCTGCCGAGCACTGCGGGGGCCCGGGCCTTGTAGCACTCAGCTGCCCCGCCGGCCTCCAGGGAAGCCTGCTCGGCCAGCTCGGCCTCCGGAAAGTCAGTGAAGGCCCAGGCTCGACGTGTTCCTTCCCTGGCGTGCCAAGTCGCCTCCTTCATCTTCGCCTG